GGTGTTCTGCAGCTCCTTCAAAGGCTTGCTTACATCGGTTTTTCCATATGAGCCAGCATGTAGTTCCAAACACCTTCCTCCAAGGTCACCTTGCAAACTTTGCGTTTCCCATGTCAAATCTATCGTTTCTCCTCAGCCAATCCTGCATGTTACCACTAAAGAAAGCATATATATATATATATATATATATATAAAGGGTTAATTAAAATCTTCCAAACTTTTCTAGCAAGCTCACAATCTCTCAAAGTGTGTATAATAGATTCCACTCTATTGCACTCAAAGGGACATTGATTCAGAGGAGAATTTGTACGTATTGCTCTGATGGAGTTCGTAGGCAATCTCTCTTGATACGCCTGCCACATAAAGAATTTTACTTTCTCAGGTAGCTCCCATTTCCAGATGTGGTGCCACTCGACATTCTGAGCTTGGTTAACTTGGCTGTAAATTTGTCAGTAGGCAGATCCTACACTAAAGTTCCCATCAGCCGAATGTCTCCAAAAGAATCTGTCTTCTCTGTTCTGCCTCGGATGAATCATTTTGATCTTCTCAAGGACCCAATTTGGAAGAAACTGGTTCCATTTTCTCATGTCCCAAGCTCCACTGCTAGTATAAAAATGAGCCACTGGTGCTTCATTATCTAAAAGGTGGAGGTTTTTCACGGCATAGTCCTTAAGGGGTAAAAATCCCCTCTTTTTATTTTATAAATAAGAAGAGAAAAGCATACGAAGGTAATCCTATTATTCAAAAGGCGGCTAGCCTTGGATCTGACATTTCTGACCAAAAAAATCAATCGTATTTATATCTTTCTATTTACACATAGGATTAATATTAATTTTTAGCCTTAAACTTTACTCTCATTTTGATATTTGATATTAGTCCTTGAAGTTTTGAAGGGTGAGTTTCGGTCCTTTAAGTTTTGTCTGTTTGGAACTTTAATCCCTAGACTTTAAAAAGGACTTGGAGCACTGTTTTAAGTTTAACGAAATGGCTTTAACGCCGTCGAGGTTGCTTGGGGAGGAAGCTGACATGGCCAAAAAATAATAAACAGATATTTCTTCTTCATCAACGCCACTCTTCCTCTAATGTTAATGCGGTTATTCCTGCACTTGCTGCAAGTTCCTATGAGCGCCTCCCAACCTGACTCAAACGTATTTTCTCATTCTCTTTAATCACTTCTTCTCCATAAATTCGAACACCATAAGCAACATAATAGTGCTAATATTTATACGATCCTAAAGTGGAGGACCACCAACAAGGGACTAACAAAGAGATAATATATTCCAGTCCCCACACAGTTCCCATCCACCTCCACTTGTTCTTATATGAGATATATAACCCAGACCCAACGGGCATAAATTCATCAATTCTCGTTGTATTTCCTTAGAACTCACCCATTACCTGTATGAAGGAATGACCACGAAAGATTAATGGCTTTCTCCCACTTAAATGTGCAAGAGTTGGAGTATTCAGTTATGGCTATCTTTGCTTTTGGAACAAAAAAACAGAGGCAGCTCATGGAGAAACGATCGTGCCAATGAACACTGTCGGGATATTGAAAGTGAGTCCACAAATTATTGATAGCTTTTGCGCTTCAGGCTGCCGTCAGCCCACACCCCTGGCTCGTGGTGGGCAACCTCTACGACATCAGGCCCGTTAAGGTCAGCTGCTTCACCGAGTGAGCTCAGTCTCGGAAATATGGCTCTTTTTCGATGGTTTTATGTTTATTTACTCTATTCCCTCTTTTATTGTATAATATTTTTAAAAGATATCAATTTATTATTTTTTTAACATCAGCACACCTTAGCAACTTAAACGGCGTTACCCTGCTCCAACTCCTTTTCATAGTTTAAGGACTAACGATGCAAACAGATAAAACTTAAGGAATCGAAAACCACACCCGAAAACTTCAATGATTCATACCCAGATGAGAGTAAAGTATGAGGGCCAAAAATAGTATTAAGCCTTACGCATATATAAAATGTCCTATTATATTTACAAGTAAAATTAGTATTTTTTTTTATAATTTAATCATCACGAGTCAAATGAAGAACATGAGTTATGTTGGGTTTCATATTTTTATTCTATTATTTCTAGTTTTATTTTTTTTTCATTAATTCATCTTACAACCAAAATTTTAAATTATTCCTTAGATCTTTAATATAAAACCTAATTAAAGAATCAATATTGATCTTATATACCATACCTATTTCATATGTTTATTGATTTTTTTCAAATTAATTTTATTGAATACCTAATAATAATCAAATAGGATAAGAAGGGAGAGAATTAAAAAAAATATCTATAATATTTTTTTAAAAAATATAACATATTAACTAATTTAACTAACAGCTATCTACTTAAATTAATTAATTAAGTTACTCATTAATAACCAAACGCGTACTTTCTTTCAACTTCATATCTATATCTCTTTCCTAAAAAAGTTGAAAATATCTAATTCCAATACGGAGAAAACTATTATGACTGGAGAAGCAAGAAGAGTTCGAGGAGAATCCGATACTCAATTAACTAACTAACTGTACGAGAAGTCATAGACCAAAAAGGCGCCAAAGTGATGTGAGGACTCAGGGGAATGCCACTACCTCCAAGCTATAAGCATCATTTTTGTAACGGACAACAAGTACTTATTTTAATAATCCCTAGTTGGCTCAGATATTTTCTCTCACCGGTTCAACTCCTCGTTTCCCCCCTTGCTTTCTCTACCTTGATGCTTGCTAGGTGCTGGCTCTGTTGTTTTTAATTCTCGGAAGTAGATCTCATTCAATCTTTCTTCTATTCTCTGCTTCTCGGCGAGAGCTTCGATATTCTGTCAAGGTTTTTTCTAAGCTGCATTTATGCTATAATCATGGCTGCTTAGCTACTCATATCTTCCATGGCTGTATTTTCTTGAGGAATGCGTATGACTGGAGGTTTTCAGCTTGAAGGCCAGACGTTTTTCATCTTTTTATCTGTTTGGTTGCTGAGAAGGAAAAAGCTAGGGAAAACTATTAACCTTATTGCGAAGACTTCACTCCCCTGGCTTTAGTAGGATTTTTATTTGTACTGCATTTAGATGCTTTCTTGAAGATACAAGATTTTTCTTCTGCGGTGCTAAATCGTCGGAGTATTCTCATATGCTTTCTTTGTCGGGTCGTCCATTTGTATGTTCATATTTCCATATCGTCTAGGTTAACCTGAGATCGTCTTCACAGGACTAGTGACTCACCATGGACAGACATGGTCGTTCGGGCCTCAGGTAAAAACTTAGTATAATTCTATTTATTTATTTATTTTGTTAGTTACGTTTTTCCATTCTATTTTCTCTTGCCAGTTTATTGCCGTCTGAAGTACGCTTTTAGTTCGTTGGAATAATTTTTTAGGTAGACATAAACTTTATTCTTCCGAATTGGACTTACGTTTTCTGATCTCTTGATGCCATTTCTGTTTTCCACTGAGATGTGAATTGTGTCGGTGAATTGTGGTTTTACACGAGCTGACACAATAATCTCTATTTATGGAGGCTCAGTACAAAATCCACAGACTAGTTAGATATTTTATCTCTTGTACCTTGCATAGTGAGCGATAGCATTCTCGCTTATTTTTAGTTGCCTTCAAGTAAGCGATGTTCATTGCCTTTTTCATTTGATGAGGAAAAAAATGCAATGGTGGAGTTATATATATTTTGATATAATTTTAGTCTCTTCTTGACAGCGTGGGGAACGTATTGGTAGGGTATTCGGAGTTGGAAAATGCAGGTGAGCCTTTTTGGAAAGTTGGGTTTAAAAGAGAATTATTCATAAAGTGTGCCTTCTATCATGATTCCAACTTCAATTATCCTCCGTTTTTATAAATTTTGATTTTAGTTGTTAACTATAGCCTTTTATTTCCTCATCTAGCAGTATTTAGCATCAGTCCGAGACTGAACAGTGAATAGTTAAACCTGCAAGGCATATTCAGTTGCTAGATAAAAAACAATTAATTTAATCAAAATTGCATGAATCCTCATCCTATGCCGTGATTTACTCATTTGGGATTGGTATGCGCTGTTAACAAACTATGTCTACGAAGAGCAAATTTGGAGATTAACGGGAGGAGCAAGCCTAATGGGTTATGAGAAAAATGGTGTGCTTAGCCATTTTCAAAATGTTAGTCTACGAGTTTATAGTTAATCTCAGGAATCTATTGATAAAATGTTTTTCCGGTTCAGGCAGGCTCAAAATTTTGTGCTCCAGCATGGCTTGTAAGATTGTCAACCAGGTTTTATTTGTGAAGCGTTCACTTCCTTACAATACGAAAAATGTTTTCGCTTCCTTAATATTGCAGACGATAGTGCCACTTGTGAAGTGTTCCACATTTCTTTTCATACATCTTGAACCACGTGCATGTAGGTGGGTCTGGCATGCTCTTCTCCTTAGTTCTTGTCTTGTCACTCGAGCGCTCTACTTTTTCTCCATATCACCTTTTAGGTGAAGGCTAAAGAGGTGAGGGAGGGATATGAAAATTAAATGACTTAGACCGACTGTGTTTAATTATTTATTATTATTGGGTTAGAGCCCATGCACCATCCAATGGTTGGTTCTTAATAACATAAAGGTAGATGTTCTCAATTCTTCCATAGGTCTATTACGTATTTATTCACTCTCGATATTATATTCACAATTGAAAATCTGGGTCTAGATAATTCTAAGTTGTCTGCACTTGGGCTGTCATTGGAGCCTGATTCTTCGATATACTAATTGGAATACCATTTTTCTGTTGTCAGCCATTTGATACATTTAAGCTGGGAACATTTAGAAACTTGGTGAATTTCTTTTCTTCGGTAAAATAGTATTAGAGTTTCAGAAAGCTAGGATGGCGTGCCCCTTAAATGACTAATTTATACTAGAGTAGTCAATGGCTTCCTTTTTGCTGCTACCTTCATTCTGCCAGCTTTCCTCATTTGAGTGGCAATAATAATTTTTCACACAATAAAAGGCGTGAATGCAATTCATATCTGTGCAATGTCTAAGAATTTCTTGGTTTATTTAGTCATAACATTACATTAAATGCTCTGTTCACTGTTTATCACAAGCATGCTAGAATTACTTTGTTAAAAATAATTTTAAATTGGTTTATAGTGTATGTAATGCATTTTAGTATCAGAAAGCATACATCCCAGATCTGAGCCCATTTACTTGATAGCAATCAATGTACAGAATTCACCTGTAGATGCGTCAGTGCAGCTGCAATCTGCTGCAGCAATCACAATGAATGTGATTTTAAGATTTCTGATAATGTTTCATGATTTTTTATGAAACTATTAGCCAAATAATTAAGATCTTACCCCAACTCTGTGCCTCCCGAGGGTGGCTCATGGTTTTGCTGATGAGGTTGACTAAGCTGGAGATTTACTGGCACGTGCAAATTCTCTCCTATGCCTAGGCCATCCGTGAGAGCTGAGTTTCTGTCTGTTCCATTTCCATCTATTTTTCCATAGACCTGAATCAGTGAAATGTCTCTTTTAAAGTTCTTCACAAATCACACAAGTGATTATGATTTAAAAATTGGATCATAGGTTTCTAATATTCTATAAGTTTGTCTTGCTATTTAAATTTAAAACCACTACCTTCTTTTTTAATTCCTTGTTTTCTTGATGAACTAGGTTTACCTTCTTTCGAAGTTCCACATTTTCTTCCTGTAAGAGGTTTCCCTGCAGAAAATGAACACGTTTGAATTAATGAAGAATTGGAGAACTGGTAATCCTTTGTTTTGGAACTGACCTTTTGGTTTATTTCCTGTATTTCCTCCATTAAAAGTTGATCCTGCATAAGTCAAATGATGTTGTTAGTACTTCAGTTGTTGTTATAATTTTTGCCATATTGAATATCAGAAGCTGAGTACTCAACCTTTTTTAAACGGACACCTCGAAGGCTAATTTCCAACTGGCTCTCTAGACTCTGTAATTCCTTGACAGTCAAACCTGAAAGTTCTTCTCCCATTATTTGCCTGCTAATTCATACAAGAAATATGCTTGAATTTTCTGCTTTGGCGATTGAGAAATTATTCATGAATTTAGAGACAAGGGATACATATAATCTAGCAAGGACTTGAACAATATCTCATTAATGCCCTCACACTTATGTACTCCATGAAAGTAATAGTAGTTCACTTTCTGTTGCCCTTCCAAAAATTTGACTGCAGGGGATGATGTCTTATTAACCTTCATGTGCCAGATAATGTATTTCATGCTTCTCTTTATATTCTTGTGAGACGTGAATTCTGTGATTGCATTTTTCATATGAAAAGTGGTATTTCTTTTGAAGGAAAATGTAACTTGCGGGATTCAGTACATTGAATCTCTCTAGTTTGAAGAAAATGTTCATTAAACCTTATCTGTGTTTGGTTCCATTGGATGGTGGAACATGTCTTATCTTCTTTGCTCTTGTAACTATTAAGGCAGCCTCAAGAACATATGCATTTATAAGCAAATAATAATACAACTTGTGACATTGAATTAATTTTTCTTGTTTTGCTTGGTCAAAATTGTAACCTGCCTTTAAAGACATGGATTATCATGTTCTTTTTTAACATCAACACTTACAAACTTATCTTTAAGGAAAAAGATATTTATGACGTAGAGGGAAGAAGATACCGATGATTCTCTTGCAAGTTCTGCAATTGCTGCCTCAACATTGCTGCCTCCCTTTGCCAAAACTGAAAAAATTGGGGGGGGGGGGATATGGTGCATTTAGATGTTAAAGGAAATGAAACAGTAGAGATAAGTGCTTTTACCATAGGATTTCCCATTGAAAATCAGAGGAAGCAACTGCATCATCTTCCTTCAGATGCTCGGCTAACTATTAGAATTAGATTTGAATGATGCATAGAAGGGAATTGTTTTGGCATAATTATGCATGAACCAACATAAACTAGCACTGGGAGATACCTTATTTCACATTATATGTCTAATGGTTTAGTTTGCATGCTTGGATGCCTCCCTTGAAATCCTCAATATGATTCTTCTTTGCTAGATAAATATGTAAAAATATTTTTTCTTTCATAAATAGATGGTATTTCATGAATAAAACTTTTTGGATTGCAGAATAATGTTTGTGGGTCATAATTTAAGCATTTTTTAAATTTATAAATTCAATTCTTGTTACTGAGCGATCTATCTTTACCGATGCTTGGTAGACCATTTTCATGACTGTGCCTTGAGGCAATCTCTTCTGTAGCTAGTTTGCTACTTACTATGGAAATCTAGAAGATATACAGCATTTATCAGAATTTGAATGTCCTCATTTTCTTTCTTTTGGGATGCTACAGTGTATACTCCTCTGTCTTTCCTGGACTCTTCTCCCTTTTGATTTAAAGCTACCTTTTAGAAAAAGTGACGATTTTTTGTGGGGTTCTCATGATAAATAACTTGCTAAATCGGAGAACAATGTCAGTTTGAAACTTGGAAAGTGGCGGCCACTTCATTCTTGTAGCCCTATGTGATGTCTCATTGGGCCTATTTCTTTATTGGAGGTTTTTCTTAGATCAGATAAATTATGTAGGTTTTTTTTTTTTTTTAATGTCTAGAAATTGGCATTGGCATCAGTTTTGAGCTAGGTTTTTTTTATTTTTCCCTGGGGATCATAAAGCTTAAGATGTAGTATGCTGGGTTGTGGCAGGATTTCTATGTTGCAGAGGATGCTTATTGGACAATTTTTTTGGATGCTTTGGAGACTAGGTAATTGCTATAAACCGCATATTATCCCAGAAACTAGATGAAAAGTTAAAGAGAAATTCTTGAAGAGGGAACTGGTGTCAGCCATTCAGAATGTCTATGGAATTAACAATGTTATGGTTCTCGATATGTCTAGCAGTGCAAGCAACTGTGTTAATCAGATATATATATATATATGTATGTATGTATGTATGTATGTATGCAACAAATAGGATGTATGCGCCGTGGTAGTTGAGTATTGGTTGATTAATAGCTTCTTCCCAAACTTATGGTGAAACCCGGTAGCCATGAGCAGTTATGGAAGTGTTTCACAGTGTTCCTGTTCTCTCCCCGCCTTCTTAATTCTCAACGATATCAATCCTGTTTCCATTTCTAGAGGAGGCATGATGTAGGTAGAAGGGTAAGAAGAGGGAAGGGGAGAGCGAGATAGATAGAAGGGAGAGAGAGAGAGAAACAGAGAAAATTTAGAATTGGCCAATTGGGTTAATCTGATAAGAAAGAACAACATAACATAATCAGAGTCCTAGGCCCCTTTATAAATCTAAATCATAACTATCGTAACTGATAAACTAGCTCATACCCCCTTTGATATTTACATAACAAGGTTAAAAAAAAAAAAGTGCGTTTTGGGAAGAACTTTGAGTTGTCTCTGGGATTGCTAGCAATCGGTGATTAATGCTTTCCCATAAACCCCCCATATCTGCTCTTTTCAGAGTTGAAACACCAGGAATAGGAAGGAACTTTCTTTTTTTGAATTAGCAGCTCGTGGAGCGGATCAAAACCGCGACCTGTTGCACCCAAGGCAACTAACGTGCCACTACATGGTGTTGGCATAGGAAGTACCTTTTTATTATGGAATAGAACTTGCCTTTCAACTGCTCTATGAATTTATTCCCTCACTCAAATTATCACTACTTATTTGTCATCATAAATAAGCGCCTCATTAAGTTATGTATATCTGATCATATGCATTTTGTCTTGATCCCTTTTATCTGCATTTGCTTATTTCTATTTCCGTACAAGTTATAAATGAGTGAAATTCCACACGAACGAGTCTAAAATAGGAGGTAAGACACATGAACTTATCTCAAGTGTGTAATTTGTGTTGTGTTAGTAATCTTGCATGTCAAAACTGATAAAACAAACTCTTGAAATACCTTCACTTCAGAAGTTGAACTTCCTAGTTGATGATTTTCCTCTTTAGTTTTGCCGTATCGTTCGATTACTGATTTCATGCTGGAAGAAATCATGCGAAATGTCAGAATTTTCAGTCGAAACCGTAAAAATGTGATAAACCAATATTTTTGAATTATGAAAGCAATTGAGGGGAAGGGAAGGGAACAAAGAAAATCTGAAGATGGGAGGGGATGGGATGGTTTAACGGTAGTTTTCCTTTCGCCTTAGAGAGAAAATCCCTCCTCCACCGCCGATATGAGAACTTGGAATTATAGTGAGGACTTGCAGAATTTTCAAGGGTTAGTTTTAAATACTCAATTGTGCTTCCCTCTTTATGACATACGAGTCAGAGTTGTTCAAATTAAACCTTCCCTCTCCATTTCCACTGGTCTAGACCCATCACCAGAAGCAGTAAGATCATCTTTTATGTTACAACAAATTCAAAATTATGGTTGGTTCTATATCTATTTCTTGTTCTGTCTGGGAGTACGATGGTGTGATCCACAGTAGATTTCATGCATCATCAGTACACCCTAAACTGCCATGCATAATTGGTAATGATTATCTTTAGTTTAAGTCAATGACCCCCCCCCCAATTTAAAAATTTCTTGAAAAAAGCGATTGGAATAAGCTAGAAGTAGATTATTTGCCTAAAAAAAGTTTCCCCACTTCCCCCCTACTCCCAAGTCCCAACTCTCCCTTGCTCGACCAGCTAAAATTATTTTTTAAAATTTTAAACAAACTAATCCTTAACTGCAGAACAGGCCATCTTTAAATTTAATCTGTTATTTTTTGTAACTAATAATTAAGTTCCACACAAGAATTCCCTCAAACGACAATTTTCCTTTAATCAGACGATCCTTTTATAATTTATAAATAAATTGGATGTCATGTCACACATGATTTAAGTCAGTAGAACTTTTTTAAAAATCAAAATGGAAAGTTTGGTAAATTGCCATTACTAAAAACTTAAGTTGAAATATACTTTTAGTCCTTTAATCTTAAAATTGTTAACAAAAAATAATAACATTGAAATATCAAATATTGATAAAATATTTTTAAATACTAACATATTAAATTTAATTTTTAAAAATAATCATGATTGTTGTTAAAAAAATCATCAATTAAACCTAACGATTTTAAGGTTAAAAAACTAAATATATATTTTTTAAAGTTAAGAGACAAAATTAAAATATTATACAAAGTTAAAAAATTAAGTGTATGCCTTAGTCAAAAACTAAAAAAGAAATATTCTACCCCTTAATTTTGTTTTTTGGGGAAAAAAAGGAGCAATTGTCACTAGGACTTCTATTCCTGCAAGTGATCGAAAGCACAAATCGATAACAATATTAATTTAGAATCACATCTTCTAACGGCTTTAGTTTCATTTGTGAAATCATATGAATTTTGAAAAATAAATTATATCATATATAATCTAAGAAAAATTAATAATTTAATACTATAGTTTTAATTTGGTTATAATTCAGCTCTTGAAGTTGAACTTGTGCAACACTACTTCTGAAATTTTAATTGTTTAATTCATTGGTTTGTACAGTTTAAAAAAAAATCTAATTTGTCAATAATTGAGTTATAATGTGATGAATTAAATAGTTAATACTTAAAAGATTGAGTTACACCAATTTAAATTTTAAATTTTAAATCGCAATTGATTATAAGATTAGATTATTGTGTTTCCCATAAAAAGAATAACTGGTAAAAAATTTTACATAGATATATAAACGAAACTCGAGAGATAACGGTCAGCCACATGAAACTAGCATGTATATTGAATATGAACTAGATATGCCTTATCATGAATTTGGTTCTTTACATAATCATTCACAGTAGTAGCTGTGAAAACATCATTGGCAGAGGCAGCGGAGAGCAAAGGATTGAGAACCAAAGATACTTACCTCTTTAGTTGGATTAAGATAACAAAGTACTCCAGTGAGAAAGAGATACAAAGTGCCCCTTCCCATTGAAAGATCCTGGGATGAGGTGTACTTTGACGTCATGGAGAGGATGCCTATCTTTTACTACTTGGCAATTAAGCCTATAAGGAAGAGAAAGGCGACAGAAAGGATGCTTTTTTATATCCTTCAAAGAAGAAGTTTCAAGGGAGATGCACACTGCAAGAGTGAAGCAGATGTTGATGGTTGAAGAAAAACAGAAGCAATAAAACAGCAACCTGAGAAATTCAGCGAACCTAACTCATTATTAGATGAGTGCAGAGAAAAAGAGACATTCGAAGGTAGCTAGCTAGGGGAGTTATTGCACAAGGCATATCCGAGAAAGAATGAACTTATGCGTAGTCTCCATATTACTTCAGAGGGACTCCTCTACCTTTTCGCCCGGGAATTCCTGAGGTCGAATTCTTTCTCAGCGGAAAGAATTAAGGTGGACTGCTTAACAAAATAATTTATGATTTGACTGGTTGTCGAAAGTCCAAATAGACTTAATTGAAATTAAACTTGATTCTAATAGAATTTCTCTATTTTTTTCTGGTAGTTTTTATTATCCCAGGGTTGCTTGGCTCAAGTTAACAAACTTCTCAATAAGACAATAACTTCCTAGAAAGTATATTTTTCAAGAAGTTGGTTTTTTCCGAAAATTTATAACTATATGCTTATTCCGTTTTTTTAAAATAATTTTCCAGAAATCTATGCCAATATTTTATTTGAAGAGGAAAATAATTTTTAAGTTAAATTTTATTTCATAATTTTTAGGAATAAGTTTAAAAATATATAACTGGTATTGGGAGAATAAAACTTACATGGGTTTTACTCAATAAATTATTTTCTAATTGTGGGAGGATTACGGCCCTGATAAAATTATATTTTTTATTAATAAATTAACCAAATAACTAAAATTTATTCATTGTTCCAAAAGTGTAACCAAATAACTAAAATTTATTCATTTTTCCAAAAGTGTAACTTCCTCCCAACTTAAGTGACCACTTAGCATCTTTGTGTAGAGTAAACCTAATTGGAAGAGGCTTCCGAGCTAGCTATTTGCTTCTTGCTACTAATATTTATTACTAGACTTGACATGAGTGATAGGATCGATGGCGGCCGGAGTCAAGAGATATTGTCCATCCCGAAACCCAGTGTTCCGATCGATTTGTGTGATACAGTGATCGAAGCATCCTAATGATCTCAACTTGACTAAAGAGGTTTACTAGTTTAATCATCCGCTAGTAATTAAACCAAGTGTACCAGGAACCTTGGGCATTTCGGATATGGAATCCATATGAGCAAACTATGTTTGGCACAAAAATTGCCTAGCCGTTGGTGGAACATGAAAATGGCCTCCCTCCGTGCTTTAGAACAGTAGCTAGGTGTCTATCATTTAGGGAAAGGTAAAAGATGGCGTACCAATTATATTCTTAAACAGGCAATTTCTGTACCTTTTTGTCAAAAAAGGGTTCTATACTCCTTATAAAGGCATGTGAGAAGAGTTATTACTGCATAAACTTCATATGAAAATTGGGGTTATCTGAATATGGGGATAGAGAATTCGTTCCAGCCTTAATTTTCCAGTTTTCGTTTGCAGTTATTATCAAAATATATCACAGTACATTAAGACAAGAGTGTCTGACCTATTAAAGCCGCAAGATAAGAAAGAAGATGCTCATCTAACCCATATTGACTAGGGTTCTCGTTTTCAGTTTTAATTTCTAAGCACGAATTCCTATTTTCTATAGAAAGGGAACCTGAAGCTATCTATATTTACTTCGTTTCTGATAGTTGGTATATTTATGACTTCAGTTTCGAGATAAAATGAAGCTCCCAGCAAATAATTTCAAGTCAGCGAGAGACCAACAAACGTGCAAGTATAATCCTTTTCTAGCTAGGAAACTTGCATTTCTGATGTTAACTATCAATTTCATAGGATATTTTACCATAGTACCGCTTTAATTTAAAATGACAAAAGTTGACACTTTGTATCAATTTTTTTAATTGAATATTATGTTTAGTTTGTGTACTCCCTTTTAATATAACTTAGGCAATAGACTATAATGGATTTGATGAGGACAGTCAATATAGGGGTCTTGGTCTTTTTGCAAGTCCAAACTTAATTACATTGTGAATTAAGTTTTGAAATTGTCAAGCACTCAAAGCTATAGAAAAAATAGAATCTTAACATTATTTTGATCGATGAAATTGAATACGCGCGCCTTCTCTGATATAAGTAGTGAATGTAGAAAATTCAAATCTATATATTATGAATAATGATATAAAAAGCAAGAGACAAAGGACTAATTTTTGTTGCGAGAATTCAAGACGTAAAAGATGAGGGTTAATATTTGAGGATAGACTTAGGTAGAAGAAGAGCAATTAAAGGCTTCCCCATTAATTAACTTATTCAGATCAATGATACACGTTATTTGTTTTTAATGTTGAACAGCTCAATGATTTTAGCTGGAAATATTATGAACCCTAATCCATGCCGGGCCAAAATCATCTATATATGCTTCTTGATTGAATTGGCCTCTTTAACTTGTGTTTTTGTGAATCGTTTTTAAGGCCACTATTTTTAAGGTATCACATCCATTAAGTTTTGCTCAAGAAAATTTACCTCACTGGTCTTTAATTTTAATTACTTGAATTTTTTGTGAATAATTTTTTTTACATATAGTTAATTAGCTTGATTTAATTAAGATGTTATTAGAACAAGTAAACGGTTATATATCTTTTTATCTTCTGTGCACATGAGTGCCTATATCTCTTTGGTGAAAAATTAAAAGTACATTTACTTTTTAATAAGTTTTCAATAAAACCCAAGCTAAAAATAAAAGCTTCGGTAAAACACCATCGTGCTTGCTTTTATCTTTTAAATCATCCCATTTACTTCCATATCACTTAAAACAGTACATATACGCGAAGTCTAGATCTATTTGTGAGCAACAACAAACCAAAAACTGGACTAACTAGTCACGTTAAATGCCATTGACGGCCTGTACTAATAAAATTTACATAATTAGTTGCCACAACGTATCTCGTGCCTTATTTAGTTTGTATATAGTGTGATTATGGATCTACTCGATCGAACAAAGACCTCTAATTAATGACTGTAAATTACATTAGTTTCCAGCCACAAGCAACTGTTCTAGCCAAAGGTTCTCAGATCCCACCCCCTTCCATTTCCACGAAGAATACCACACTCTAAGGATTTCGATTTCAATTATTCAACTTCTCAAATGACGCAGGAATCCTAATTAAAACCTCCCTGCGTCTTTTAGTTCAAACTAACCCTGAATCTCATCAGTATAACATGGCGTGGTTCTGAATAAGAGAATCAAAGTTTTCTATCTCTAGTTGGCATCAAACACCAACTATCCTATCGTTCGGCACGCATATATCCAATATAGGAAGATTAGAAAATGAATGCATTTAACTATGACTCATCTTCAGCAACGAATATATCAACGCCATTTCAACCAGAAATATAGTACTGACGGAAAAAGCGTCGCATATAGTAACAGAAAGACACATGGAACGTGATATTCGAACAAAAAAAAAAGGTGAAATGGAACAGAATCACAGATCAAGAGAAAAGAGGGAAGATCTGAGAACTTAGCGTGCACCTTGTGCTGGCGAAGTCGTAGAGCCTGCCGGTGCTCGAGAAGATCATAACTCCTACCTCAGCGTCACACAGGATTGCGAGCTCCTTCGCCTTCTTCAGTAAACCGTTTCTTCGCTTGGAGAACGTTACCTGCCTGCTCGTCGAATTGTCGATTCTCCTAATCACGATCTTCCCTCTCCCCATGCCTATATTTTTTAGCCCTAACTGGATCTTCGGAAAGAGAAAATTGTTCTACTATTAGTCAAACAAGAAAAAGTTTATGGAAAAAGTCTAACGAAGATCGTGAAAATCAAAAGAAGTAAATCGATGGACAGCCGACAGAAATGACAAAAAATTCTGGCCGAGCTTTGGACGGAAGAGAAAATAACGGAAAGTTAAAAAAAGAAAAAAGAAAAAGATAAAGGAAAGAAGATAATGATAACCAGATTTATTTTCCGAGAAGAACAGTGAGAATCTAGAGAGAGAAAAAATGCAAAGAAACGGAAAAAAGAAAAGGAAGATGTGAGAAGAAAGAGCTTACTGGCGATGAACGCTTCGATTATAAGAGACAGACCGATGTTTCAAAACCGTACTGAATCAGCAGGAGCCATATAAGGAAAGTGTCTAATTGACCCCGCTTAGGCTGGTGAGAGTGAACGCGCTCATCGGCGCGTAGAATTTAAAAAAAAAACCCAGATTGTTACGAGGACGGGGCCACGTGGCCCAATCAGTTTCTGAACCGATACGCCCTTTTTATTTACTTTTTAATTCATACCCTAACACTAAAGGCGATTCCTTGTTTCCGATTAATCGCGGCCGAGGTAAATCTTCCTTCCTTCACCTTGTTCGCTATTTTTGAGTGAGGCATGTAACACCCTACTTTTCAAAAACCTAAGATAAACGCTATCGAAGACATTTTATTACATCAGTAAGGAATTAAAGTAGTTTTGAACCAAGAAAAAAAATTAAAGTAGTTTTTCAACCAATGAAAAAACGAATTAAAGTTGTGGTTATGCAGCATAAAGGTTTTAAAATCGTATCTGAAGTACTGATTATAGTAGGAAAAACAAATTTGCACTCAAAGAAATAACAATCTATGATGTTTAATCAAAAGAATCAAACAAATTAATAACATGTGTGTATGTTAATAAAATAAACTAGGATCCCAGTGAGACCTAAAACATACCAGTCTAGCCATAAGCCCAACGCAACAATAAAACCATCACAACAATCCTGTTCAAATAGATAGACTCAAATGACCATGATTTATTCACAGTTTCATGAGATTTACCCTGTGATATATACTCATGACACGAACCATAATTTCATTTGAAAAAAGAAATAGTTTTGAAGTTAGAAGAAAATTAAATTCAAATGAATCAGATATATATTAAGGTAATCAAAATAGCCTAAACGGCGAGTTTACATCATTTTAAATACACAGAATAAAGTGAGGCCATTCAAATGAAATAGAAGGCCTCAAGATTTAATTTGTACACAGGCTTTTCAAATAAACTTCATCATGCTCTTTGCAATTCACCACAATCCATTTCACCCCGTAATTTTAGTACAAGGTGGAAAAAATACATTTAGTTATATTTACCACTTGCTAAAATTAATGAAATGATGCACACGTAATTAATAAAATATATTCCTTCGGTGTTAAATATAAGATCTGTTTTATAGTGTAAATTTATATTATAAAAAAAGCTTTATATTTAGATGGAGGAGTATATATACATAGGAGGTCTATTTAATTATGAATCTCTCACTGAACATGTTTTCTTACTTCGTAATGTCCAAATCCATCTCCGATCCGCATGCGAGAGGCACCGTAATTTAGGTCAAATCATCACTAAAAAGAACGCGATTAAGAGACTATTTTATCAAAAGCCATCAACAACCATTATTGGTGTGGGAGATTAATATTAAATCCGAGCACTAACACGAACACAATTATTAGCGGATCCTGAAGGTTATCTGGGATGGGGGAGTCATGCGTGTCACGCTTAATGGACCCCGCCTCACGGCCCCATCCACTCGAGACTATGGGCATAAACTCGCCGAGTTCCACCACCCGAAGTACGATGAAGCGATGAGGACACGCGTCACTATTTTACGTGGGAATTGAAAATGAGGTATCAGAAAGTTATTTCAGATTTCCTTTTTTCTGTTTCTTTAAGGTTTCCAAATCAGGAAATCGGTGACCGAGCCCTTCGCCGCTTTGTGGCTGCCAGAGCATCTGATTCGTCCTCTTTCCTTTCTCTTTTTGCCCTTTTTTCTTTTTCTTCCTTTTGTGAGGTCACGTGATTCTTTTTATTGATAAAAATTAACTAGTGCTTCTTTCAGCTCTAAAAATCAACTAGTATTCTTTTCAGTTTATATTATAAAATAAGTTTTATATCTAAGATTAGATAATTTATTAATAACTATTTCAGGAATCTCAATTTTGATTCTGACACAGTCCATTTTCGCTGACAAAAGTGGTTCTTGCACTGTTGGCACTGAGCTCAGGAAAACAACTACTCTGATTTCTGATCACCCCGAACCCACCAGAAATATCGAATCTTGGGTAAGATGAGCCTGTCACATCATTATTGGATCATATTTTCTCAAACCGCGACCCCATGAATATCTGTCTTATCATCGTTGCGTGGGAATGCTTCACAAATCAGGAAGATATATAAATTCGGTAAATCCATTTGAATATTTATGAAAGAATCTCACGTTTGTCGCAAACATCTGATTTTTTTTTTTGGCCTGAAGCAAACATCTGATGATATTTTCTTAAAAACATAAATTACTACCTCCTTTTTTGTTTGTCCGGTAAAATGATATCATTGCCATCATATCTCGCTGAACAAATGGTGCTGCGATGAATTTGGGTGCAAATAAAAAGTGGCTTCATTGAATAATTCTACCTCTGATTCTAATTATAAAAGTTAGTTAATTAAATTAAAAAAATTAAATAAATAAGTTAAGTTAGTTATTTGTAATAGATATGTATTGTCTTTCCTAAAATATCCTTAGTAGTTAAGTATATTGACTAGAATTACCTTTATTAGAAGAACTATCTTGAAAAAATATATATAAATATGAGAGATAAAATAAATTATGGTATTATATTTAGGATTAAAATAAAAATTAAATGAAATTTTATATTAAGGATCAGAAATAACAGATATTAAATGCAGAAATAAGATAAAAAGAGGAGCGTTTCAAGGGAAAAGCCAGTAACCCGTCTCAACCAGTCCAACAACTTGCCAATGTATATATCCACACGCACACAACATTATATATCTTTTCTTATATTCATTTTTTACAATGCAATCAAAGCATGATTGAAATTATATGGCCCAGTCCTCCTAAAAAAAATGTTGAGCCGATCTAATGATCATGCCAAAACCAAAATCCCCTCAAACAAGAGGATCCCCAGTAAATGAAGTAGTTCGTTTTTTTTTATTTATCCTTTTTTAAATAATAAATTTTTCCTAGCCACCTCTTGACAAAACCCCTTGTTATGCTTAGCCCTAATTTCACTGACGCTGTGTCTATGAACCAGGTTATCTCTCCCTCTTAATTTCTCATTCACGGCTTTGTTTCTGTTATGTTCTTTAATTATTCCCCATCAAACATAGGCATTCAAATTAAAAACAAAGCCCTACACAGTGGCAGTTTCTCACCAATTTTGATGGCCCTTAGAAAAATCTAATATTAGTTGGATCGCATATATATGCTTAATATAAACAAGTAAACGCCTGTATGCTGCCAACACCTGCACCTGCATGCATGTTTATTTCTCCAAAAAATGCGTCGCTCTCTCTCTCTCTCTCTATACACATACAGATATATACATGTTTATATCTGTTTATCTGTGCGTTGATTGACTGATGCCACGTGATGCCCACGTGAAGATTAACCAATCGTGATATGTCCCTTTCGTGAGCAGGATGATATGATTCTTCTCTGTTCTGCTCGTGATGACTGCTGAGTTGTGAAACCAATATCCCAGTGGCAAACATCTGGACAGGACCCTCTCGATCGCGTTGTGACTGAAACCTTCCAGCTTCCATAATTAGAAGGGGATGATAAATAGCCGCATCTGATGAACAGAAAATTAGCATCCTATTAAATCCTATAATAATCACAAAGAAAGAACGTGTATATATGCGTGTTGGGTTGATAATATATATGCGGTCTTTTTTATTCGTTAATCTCTCCAAGCAAGATATATACTGTTTACCCCATTGATATCCTAAAGTCAAGAGAAAGAAAATTCCCATTTTAAGTTAACAATTATACTTCATCTGGTGCTTAATGTAAAGATTAGTTGACTAATTTGAGTAGATTAAAAAAAATTAGTTAGGTTAGTTATTTGTAATAAATATGCGTTGTCTTTCTTAAAATATCTTTGCTAATCAAGTATATTAGTTACAACTACCATTATTACAAGAACTATCTTGAGAAAAAATAAATAAATATGAGAGACAAAGTGGATTAAGGTCTTATATTCAGGATCAAAATAAAATTTAAATGAGCTCTTATATTAAGGACCCAGAGATAGTACTCTTCCGGTCCTTAATATAAGACCCATTTAACTAATTTGATTAGATTAAGAAAGTTAGGTAATTTAGTTAATTATAAAAAAAGTGAGATATTTTTTCTAAAATACCATAATCATCCTTCTTAATACCTCATCTCCCTCTTCTACTTGATTATGGTTGAGGAAATATTTATAGGGGTAATTTAGAGAAAATTGATAAATATGAGAAATGAGTCTTATATTTAGGATCAAAACCAACTCAAGAATTGGGTCTTATATTAAGAACCAGAGGAGTATATATGATTGACATCATTGGTGTTTTACAGTTGGCCAGAAACATAATCAAGACAATTGGGGAAAAATTAAAAAAAAAATAACAGTGACCTTTTTCATATATCTATACATACATATATTATTGCCTCTAATTCTTAATATAAGAGTTAGTTGAAAATTTACTTCGGTCCCAAATAGCATACCATTGTCTACTTTGTCTCTTATATTTATAATTTATTTATTTATTTTTCCTAAAGTAGTCCCCATGATGATTACATATATCAAATGGTTTCCATTTTAATGCACATGATTAACTAATATTCTTATTCATAACAAAATGTGTTTTGACTTTTCTAAATTATATTATTTAATCATGTATATTAGAATTATCCATTAATGAAAACTTTTTACAATCAACAGAGATATTTTGAAAAAAATATTATCAATTTAGAAAATAAAATGGATTGAGAATTTTTATTTAGGAGCAAATTTAAATCTCCAACAACTACTTTTCATATCTAGGATCCAAGGTAGTAGTAAGTATTGTATTGGAGGTAGTACTCTTTCAGTCCTTAATATAAGACCTATTTAATTAGTCTGATTAAGAAAGTTAGGTAAGTCAATTAATTATAATAAATATGATATGTTTTTTTCTAAGACACCATAATCATATTTCTTAATATCATTTTTCTCTCTTCTACTTGATTATGATTGATAAAGTATTTATAAGGGTAATTTAGAAAAATTTGATAAATATGAAAAATAGGTTTTACATTTAGGATCAAAATTGCTCAACAATTAGATCTTATATTAAGGACATGAGGAGTATAATATAATGAGATGACCTTTCTGTTGGCCAACAGTACACAGATCTTCCTATAGACAAGTCGATCAGGAATAAAATGATGCTTTTATTTTTTATTTTTAAATAAAGAGTGAAATGCCACGTGTGTGTATGTGGGGACGAGATGATCTAAGTGCTCATCGGGTTAGATTCGTGTTCCGTCCCATTTTTAGTCTTCATTACTAAGATTAACTAGACCGTCACGTGTATTGCAAGAGAAAAATGACAAAAATATCTAATGTGACTTGCTAATTTTGAAATTAAAGAAATTTGAATATTACGCCACAAAATAATCAAACATGCAACCCAAAAAAGGTTAAATATTTTAAAACACTACTCACAGTTTATGTATCATTGGATGTATAAATGCATGGATTAGCGCCCCTTAATTTTGTCGAAAATATAGCTTTTTGGTCCCTAATTTCTTAATTATCAATTTATTTCATGAGCTTTGATTTAAAATAGCTCAGTTTCTGAAATTTTTTCACTTAATACAATTCAATTCTTATAACTCCCTTACTCCATGAATTATAAAGATTGAGTTTCACTAAATTATAGTAGTAATTTAATAACTAAGTCAACAACTGACAAAAACCATAAAGGCTAAAAGTTATATATATGGTTTTTTTTTGGGGGGGTCTCAGTCCGACGTTGCAGCTACTTGCTACAGCTGTCGGCTTTTGAGAAGAAAAAAAAACAGACAAGTCCTAAATAATTTTTGGCAAAATTAAAAAAAGAGAGAGAGTGGAGTCAGCTTTTCCTAATAAACGAAAGTGGGCCTTATATATAACCCGAAATCTGAAAAATGAATGTGTTATTTACAGACTATGAATGATTCGACATGTTACAATTTTTATATTCCATATTGAGACAATGATAATCATCATAGGAAAAATCTAAAAAAATACCTCTTGAATTTTAAAATCTCATATTAAACATTACTATAAAAATTTGTTATCATTTACTTTTCAAGTATATTCAATTACTATTAAGATACAGTAAACCAAACTAATTTGAAGTTTTACAATTTAAGAGGTATGTTTTTTGGGATTTTTCCCGTATAGTAACATAAAAAGGAAAATAAGAGAACCCCACCTAACGAATGGCTGGGTGAGTTGGCGTTAAATGAGGGCCCAAATTACAATAGCGTCCGATCCAAGCTCATCCCGGTCTTATATAGGCCCAATTATGTCGGCTCCTCCGCCTTCAAGGCCCGTGGAGAAAACAGCAACATTCAATCATCAATTTAGATGGCCGGGAGCGTAATAAAGTCTCCCCAACAAACATCGTTCAACCGCAGGAATCAAAGCTCTTCCCACTTGTTTCATAAGTAGTTCTCAGCGGACACCAGGAATCCAAACTCTTCGATTGCCGGTATTATTTGAATCTTTATCTTTGATGATCTCTTTCAATTTTCAGATTTTCTAAGTGCGTCGTTATTTTTCAAATCTAACCTCTGTTTCCTGCTTCCTGAAGATTTGATCGCCGAACGACCTTTTTCTTGTTTATTTCGCTTTTCCAACATGGCAGCTGTCTCCGATGAAGCCACTAATATTTGTAGTCACTGGTAAACACTGCGCTTTTCACTTTATGGATTTTGGAATGATTATGGTTAACCTTCCATTAGACTCACGCTTTCCTGAAATTTTTGAAGCGGGCATGCTTGCTTCGTTCTTGACTTACATAAGCTAAAAAATCCCTGAAGCTCATGGGAAATTGAGATAATCATTCATAATTGAGGCAGTGAATCTGTCTGAGTCAAGAATGGTCTTTAGAACGACTAAGTATTTAGGCAATTGCGACCGCATGACTCGTAAAACAGCTTCATGCCATCAAAATATATTCTGATATGCATTTATTAGTCTAATTAAGCACGGTCAGTGCATATTTCTGAAAAATAGTGTGATATTTGGTTCATCTTGAACAGAACCGACTGCATTAAAATGTAGCTACTTTTTTAATGCCCGGTCCTTAAGAAACTTGTAATCATTCATATTTTAATGTTTTACAGCAACCGATCTATCCCTGCAGCAAATATTGATTTGCATTATGCTCATTGCTCCCGGAACCTTGAAAAATGCGAGGTTTGCGGTGAGATGGTTCCCAAAAAAAATGCTAAGGATCACTACATAAGCACCCATGCTCCGGTATGTACTATTTGGTCTTGCTTTCCATTTTTTCTTTTGGGGATTGTTTTTTATGATCAGGGGCAAAGAGCTCGTCGGACGGTGCTCTAGAAGATTTTATGAAACTGGAATAGTGGAATATGTGCATGTCTTCCTTGTAAACTTAGGAGTTATAGGGGAAGGCAAGGTTATCATTATTGGAAAGTTCGGTGGTGTGACATCTAGTGATTCTAAACATGATGTTTTTGGGACACTGACTTGCTAGTTAGGCGTTGGATTGAGTTTTACTAGATGTGGTAAGTGGTTTTGGCCCTTGATGGAGAATGTACTTGCTGGGGCCATGCCCCCCGACTTTTCAATTTTTTCTTTATATCATATTGGTGTTATACGTTTCCAACTCTCCCAAAATTTATATGAACTTTCAATCTCGGCTCAACTCATACTTGAGTTCTAGCTCTGCCTCTAGGTATTTTATTGCATATTCGATTGTGAGCAAGCTCAAAAAAGGTACAGGTGTGATGGATTTTAAAACTCTTGTTTGTTTAGATAAAGGTTTTATTTGGTTCCATACTTCTTCTTGCGTGGCCTCTGGGCCTGGAAAATTCAGTCCTACCAAGCCAGTTAAGGTGCAGCTAAGTGCTTGGTTTCATTTTGCAAATCCAATCAAATATTTGAAATATAATTTTCTGAGAATGGTTGTTCCATATGCTGGTTGACGACGCTGTGGTAACCAAACAAGTAATTTGTTGGACGAGAAGTTATTTAATTTCTTTTAGTTTATTTGCAGCTTGGTTAGTGAATTTGTGCTTTAGTCCATAGGTTCGGGTTTCACATTTTGGTGTTGGTACTCAGTTTTATGGCATCTAATTTTAACTGGTGCTGAACAGGGAAACATAAATGGGTTGTAAGGTATTTGGTTGATAGTTGAAATTATTCTCTTGTAGTCGGTGGCAGTGGCTGAGCCAGGAACATGTAAGAAAGCAAATTTTTAATATCTGAGATTTTACGTCAAGGGCTTAATTAAGGGCTACTGGAGGTGTCTATCTGAGATTTTATTGTAAGGTCTAAGGCATGGGATGATAAAGAAATCCAAAAATTTGATATCTAAGCTTTTATTATACGGCCAATTTGAAATCTAGAGACCAGATATTTTGTAGATATGTTTGGATTCATTTTGAGACCGAAGCTTTTATGGTTAGGGCTTGGAACGGACATGCCTATCAAATGGAGGAAAATAAGAACTAGTTGGGGAGCTCGCTAAGGCCTCCCAGCATAATATAACAGTTCTTGAATTTAGATGGTCAATTCACTTATTGTTGTTTTGTTGAACTTTATTTGCAGGTCACCTGTTCAATGTGCAGTGAGACGATGGACCGTGATATTTTAGATGTCCATAAAGGTGAAAATTGCCCTCAAAGAATTGTTACTTGTGAATTTTGCGAGTTCCCATTACCAGCGATTGATCTGGATGAGCATCAGGTAGTTTTATCAAGGACATCTGAATCAGGAACATCCTATTTTAGCATGCGCTATGGCTCTTATTTCAGTGTGGTGTTTTCATCCTTCAGGAATTCTGTGGGAATCGAACAGAACTCTGTCACCTTTGTAACAAATATGTCAGACTACGAGAAAGATACAACCATGAAGCTAGCTGCAATGGCATCCCAGATCATACTGCTACTGTAGGATCTTCAAGGTAAAGTATAATCAATTTATTGTAGTTGCATCATAGTCACGTCAATTTATATTTGAAACTTACGGGAAACCTCTTCTTTGTATCTTCTTTTTGGTTTTATGTTATCTTCTTTTAGCTATTTTTCGTGTGTAAAATGATGCTTTTTTTTAAAAATGTTTTTGGATTTGCGTCTGCTCAAGTATGCTCATGTGGGGGTTTTTGCTTTCTGGAGACTTACAAGCCACCCCCTCCTTTTTCTCAATGGTTTTCCGATGCATGTATATAGAAAATGCTCACTCTGTTGGAGTTCTGTTCACCTCACAAACTTTCTGCCTTCGAGCTGGATGGAGTCATTTCCTTATTAATAGTGCAATTGCCTATTGCTGCTGTAGTTATTTTTTAATTTGGCTGAGTGCTAAGATATGCTTTTAGGGCCTATCAAAAAAAGATATGCTTTTATGGTAGAGAAGTGAAGAAATGTTATACATTGGGAGGTTGGGCTTCTTGCCCAACGAATTAATTGGTATCTGACAATCTGAGCTTGTATTGGCTGAAGATGGATAATGTATATAATCCTCTTTATAATTTAGTCATGGTATGAGGACATTTAAATTTCTTGAAGGTGATTTCTCGCCCTAACTTTACGAATAAAATTTTCCTTGTTGCGGTTTATTTAAATCTCTTGCATTACACGTGACTGCCGTCAAAGTTACTCCCTCGTTGGTCTTTTCATGTTAGGGTATATTAACTTAGGCAGTTATCCTTTTTCATATTCATAGAAGTGGTTTCTCCTTTCTGTATCATTGAACCGTGTGCTTCTAATTTTTAGGGACGCGAGGGCAGCTGAAAGAGAGGATGGTGCTAGAAGAAGGCAGCGGAACAACTTCTCAAGAAGGCGTCTTCTTTTCACAATAGCAATCACTAGCATTGCTGTCTTGTTAGGATCTCTGTTCTTCCAGAAGAAGACTGAGCAAAGTGATGTGAATTAGAGGTAGACAGGACACAGGTTCAAATGTAAATCGGCCTTAAACATTTATAATTTATTCGTCTGCAACAGAAGTCAGCTGACGAGATATATTATGCTACTTTTTTGGGTGAGATATATTTTGCTGCTCTATTTGAACAACTCATTGCCGTTATATCGCGGTTGCCTCCGATTCTTAATATAAGAGTTTATTTGATTTTTATTTTAGCTCTAAATATTAGATTCTAATCCATTTTATCTCTCATATTTATCTATTTTTTCCCAAGACAGTTCTTGTAATAATAGTAATTCTAGCGAATGTACTTGATTAGCAGAGACATTTTAGGAAAGACAACATCTATTCATTATAAATAACTAATTTAACCAGTTTTCTTAATATACTTAAAAAGTAATATTATATCATCTCCGGTCTTTAATATAAGAGCTCATTTGATTTTTATTTTGATCTTAAATATAAGACTTTAATCTATTTTGTCTCTCATATTTATCTATTTTTTTCTAAGGTAGTTTTTATAATAATGATAATTCTAGTCAGTATACTTGATTAATAAGGACATTTGGGAAAAAATAATACTCCTCCGGTTCTTAATATAGGACCCAATTCTTAAGTTGGTTTTGGTCCTAAATATAAAACCCATTTCTCATATTTATCAATTTTTTCTAAATTACCCCTATAGATACTCCCTCAACCATAATCAAATAGAAGAGGGAGAGGGGTATTAAAAAAGATGATTATGATATTTTAGGAAAAATGTGTCACTTTTCTTATAATTAATTAACTTACCTAACTTCCTTAATCTAATCAAATTAGTTAAATGGGTCTTATATTAAGGACCGGAGGAGTACCTATTTATTATAAGTAACTAATTTAATTAGTTTTTTTTAATTTACTTAAATTAATTAATCAGTTTTTATATTAAAAATCGGAGGTAATATAATTTTGGGTTAGCACACGACCACAAGAAATACGAGTACAAATTAATTCGGTCAACAGTACATCAATGACTTGAACATCACGTCACAGAGAAGACAATCATTTCCATTATTCTAATGCATATGCAGTGCAAAAAATACAATCAAATTAAACCAAGAACCAGAATCATGGTTGCTTACACTAAACATCATGGTCACCGATTATAATGAGCCATGCGTGGGGGGTTTTTACAATGCATTATTATGGCCAGGCTTTTCAGCGCCCTCGACATCCATGCCCAAGTTTCGAGTTCGCAATGCTCGAACCAATCCTTTCAAATAAATCGCACGCTACAATAATTGCTGAAGCTCGTACTTAATCCCCCACTCCACCCAAAAAAAAAAAAAACACTCGACAAATTTCAGATGCTCCGTGAAAGTGCAACAGCACCTAATGGTTCAGATTCGACAATAGAATCTAAATTACAATCCTAAGAAGTCAAAACACACATAATTCAGTTTCAAAAGCTCATTACAAAAGCAGCAATTAGCTCCCAATCTATAATCAAGGATAATTCTCAAAACCTCTTCAACAGCGGTCAAAATTGCTTATATCACCTAACGTGACAAATTTGTAGGTATACTTTTTTTTAATTAATAATAATAATAATAATAATAATAATTTATTATTATTATTATTAGTATCCAGCCCTTTTTTTTTTTTGGTCTTATTACCAATTATCTGACCAGTTTGCCGGAGTGTTGGCCGACAATAAGAGGCGCCTCACTACCTCCAAGTAATTTGTAGGTATAATTTAAAAAATTCACAGTTTATGTTTTAGGTCTCCAACAATTATCATTTTCCCCGAAAAATACCAATTTACAAACTTATTTGAGTAAACTCAATGCATATGATAAAAGAAGCAAACTTCATCACCCTTTGAATTTAATTAATTAGATATGCTTAGTAAACATCAATACTTTAAAACAAATCTTAAAGTGCGCCATATTATATTTTCATCATTGTCTGATTTTATTTTTATTTTTGTTTTCTTATTACTTTCTATCACTTAAAATTTGAATTGAATTGTTGATGTTTAAAATATCTTCACCAAATCTTAAAAAATTCCAAAATTATTTATTTTTTTGACCCGCATTCCAAAATTATTTATTAAATTTTGTAAATACACATACCTACATACTTCTTTTATATTTCAAATATGTGAATGTTTAGTTTTTTCAAAAACCATTTTTAAAAAGTATTTTTATGTAAGTCGAGATAAAACTACTCTCATATACTTATTTTGTATACCTTAAGATTATTTTAAAACTATAGTTTAGTTTTCACTCAAACATTCCAAAAAACTTATGATGACAGAAGGCGATGAAAGTGTGAATGAGTAAATATTAAAATAAAACTAACATGCACAACTTACCAAGAAGAATTAACTTGCATATGATGAACATTATTGAGTAAATATAATAAGTAAATTGGAGATAAAATTAATTAAATTATAAAACCTAATCACAACTTTTTAAATCGTAAAAGCCAACTTAAAAATGAAACAAGACAATTATTAGTTTTCATCACATGAGGATATAGCGGTCATTACACATGTTGGCAACCTTCCACTATATATGCCTCCCGCTCCAAATTCTAGGGTATAAAAGCCCTAAATTCTTCGCTCCTCTTCGGCTCCGCCCATCGAACCAAACATTGAAACCAGAATAAGCAGGCACATAAGCGAGGAAGAGAGCTGCTTTATACGCTGCCACTCGATTCGTAATACGATTTCTGATCACTGTCATTCATTATTCGTCTATCCCTTATTCGAACTCTACTGCAGCACCCCCCCCCCCCCAAAAAAATTTTAGACACAAGTTTCTTCGTATTCTGGTTATAACATCTATATATAATTGTAATCTGATCCATTCAGTATTTGTCACCGATACAGATCTTGTTTGGCGTGCAAAAATGGCAACATTCGAACTGTACAGAAAGTCGACGATTGGTATATTTCTTACCGAGACTCTTGACGAGATGGTTCAGAACGGTACTCTCAGTCCTGAGCTTGCTATTCAGGTTCTTGTCCAGTTCGATAAGGTGATTTTATTACGGGGATAGATTTGGTTGTCTATCTTCCTCACTTTTATCCTCGAGCCATCCATGAACTTTTATTTTCTTGGCCTGATATGACTATTGATGTTACGGTATACCATTTGCTAGTCTATGACTGAAGCTCTGGAAACGCAAGTCAAGAGTAAGGTCTCCATTAAGGTAATGGCCTTTTTTCTCATTCTCTGTTGTGGCCTTTGAGTAATGCACTTCATTAAAATTATTTTAAGGCCTCGATATGAGCACGATTCGCCGTAGGCAGCCCCGTCATTGCCAGTTGAAATTAGAAGTATACAATCGATGGAGTGTGATATTGTGGGAGTTTTTGTTGATATTTTTCTGCACCCTCAAAGAAATTATTCTTTTTTTTCTTCCCCCCGGTCACACAGATTCCTTCTCCAGTATTTTTCTGAGATTCTTTGTTTGCTTCACCCAATTGTATTGCGGTGGCTGGTTACTAATCTTTGACAAATTGATAATGTATATTGTAACATAAAAAATCATCCAAAATAATGATCTAGTTTTCCATCAAGGTTTAAGCCTCTGTAATTTAATTAAGCCAGTTTAATACTATAGAATATTAGAGTTACATTATTGTTGTTAAGTATGGTTTAATTTCAAATCACTAAAATTCAGAGCTAGGGTTTTGTCTAGATGTTGGAGGTACCCGACTTGTACCAAATATAATCTAAAACTAAAATTTCACTATAATAAAGTTACATAGTTTGGAGTACTAAAAATGGATCAATAGCTATGTGCCCGACATAGGACAAGTTAGAAATTGTCATGCCTAAGCTTTTAAGAGTAAAGTTATGAGCACATTCATAACTTCACTCTTTTTCCTTTGTGGAGATGCCCATTGAATGAAGAGGTTGTGTCTGTGCTCTTGAGTAAGCTGCATAGGTAGATGGGATGACATTTGGCTTACAAGATTGAAATCCTCAGATTGAAGCTTGCAAGCAAGGCATAGGAGAGAAGGAAACAAACTAGAATAGTTCCCAGATTGTCTGATTCTTTTTTCTATCTCAAGTTGATTTAGTTCCTTTGGTTTGCCTTTTGAACCTAACATTGGAAAAAAAGTCATAGTAGAACTCTATTTTATTTTATCATCTATACTTCTGTAGAAAGGAAAACTTTGATAATGGTGAAGATCCATTGTTTCAACTCACAATGGCTTCTGCATACCTCTTTTATTCTCCATTTTTCTTTGTTATCATAGATAAAGAAAACACTAATAAGAACGATAAGTTGCAGAGATAGCCAAAATGTGAAGCAGTGACTACTAAAAACCTATCTAGCCGTCTATCTGCATAAGAATTATTTATCTTGTAGTTAAATATTATTCTGGTCGTTCCAGTCTAGATAGACGAGAATGGAATTCATATTAGAAAGTTTATCTTCTTCGTCTGATCTCACGATTTTCAGTTACATTGGTTCAAGGCATATTTTTAGTAACATTGAGTCTTAATATTTTGGGTTGGACCATGTGAATCCTCAGTTTAGAGCAATTGGGACACTATCATTTGAATTTGCCACCCAATTCTTTCTTGACCCTATTATTGTTGACTGCCTGCCTTACAGTAGCTTACTAGGACCGAAAACACTGCAAATTTATGGTTTCAATCATGATTTGGCCCCCCTATTTTCTGACCCTATGAATTCACGTCAAAATAATATTTAATTGAACAAACTGCTTATCTACATTTGATGTTCTAGTTTGTTCAGCTGCAGCGATTCTTAAACCACTCTGATTTGAATCATTTAACAGATTTTTCACTCCTTCCCCCTAAATTCATTGTGTCTGGTTGCCTCAGCAGAGAATTCTACTATAATTTTGTTCTGCTATTTATTTTTCCATAATTTCATGTGCAGCTGGTGTCTTCGTATGTCATGTTAGTTATGAATATACGTCTCCTTCTCACCTCCATTAATACTATTACTGCCCTTATGTAGGCATTGTCAGAATTGAACTGTTTTCACTTTCTCTTTAATCACAGGGACATCTACATACGTACAGATTCTGCGACAATGTTTGGACCTTCATTTTGCAAGATGTTTTGTTCAAGAGTGACGAATGCCAGGAGAACATTGGAAGGGTTAAAATAGTGGCATGTGACTCGAAGTTGCTATCACAATAATAACACGTCCAACGTCTGCTCCATTATCGACATGGATAAATTGCCTTCTAGGAGAACGGGACGGAGCCAAGAGAAGTGACCAATGTTATAAATTCTTGAAAGGACCAATTATCAAAAGGTTGTAGATTTGAAAGCCATCAATCTTGATATCTTTAAGAATGATCCGTGGGTATTCGATGGATATACTTTTTTCATTGTAATTTGCTCTATGGGCATTGGTAAATGGATCCATTTATCTTAGCAGGACTTAGCGGTTAAGACAATTATTTCCAGACATGAGCCATGAATTGATTTCATAATGAGAATCGGAATGCTGTCTGATTGGCCATTTTTTTTTTTTTATTATTATTATTCTTTTTACCCTTTTCTACAAATTGCTTTGGATTATATCTTGTGAGAGTAAGCTCCATTGAGGTTCTACAAAAGCTGCCGCTCGTCTATCGGCATTGGATAGTGACAGGCGAATGCGGAATATGAAGGATAGTACTGGTGGGTAAAATTGGGCATGGGAGAGGAAAATATACTCTCCTTTTTTGGGCCACAATGTTTCGTGGTGGGTATATGTGCATTCTGCAGATAAATAATTACTGGTTCAAAAACTTGAATCTTTTTACTAAGGATAATTCTGGTTGGTATTTTTACTAAATAAGAATAATGAATTCGTAGTGTCCCATTCTTCAATAGAAGAGTTTTTGATGGAAGTGGAAGTGAGATTAAAAGTGTGGTTGGTGTGACCAAGCATGATATAATTTTTAATTAATCTATTAATTCTAAAAATGAAATGACTAATATGCCCCTGTCAAAAGAAAGAAAAGCCTTCACCCAAAACAGCTAAGCCCCAGGAACCGCCGCCAACCTCCATAACCCCCGGCGGCAATGGAGGATGATTACAAGAAACTGAACCCCATAAACAAGAAATCAAACCAAATCAAGCAATAGAAAAGGAAATCAGATACTAGAATAAAAAAAATACTCTTCTTCTTCCTTGCGCTTTCCAGTTCAATCAACGAAGATAATGATAAAATTTTTCCACGGTCCAAGCTGAACCTGAACCGGAAACAACCATTTCCAGACCTCCGCAACTAGATCTAATTTCAACTCAGGCAAGAAAAAAAATCCCGCCAACCGATTGTTGGCGTCGCAAATGAATGTCGTCACCTATCCGAGAATGAAATTGAAATCGAAGTACTTGGAAGTTTCTTCTCATTGCATCCGTCTCTGATTTAAAATCAAAATCAAAGTACTTGGAAGCTTGGAGGTTGCCGCGAATGAGCACCGTTACCGTCGCGAATGAGCATCGTTACCGTCATAGGTGAAGGTCGTAGCCACCGCGAGTGAATGTTGTTACCTCACCATTGCCGTCGCGGATGAAGGTTGTCGCCGGGGAACCTTGAAAGTGGAATCTCAAAGGTTGTTCGGCTGAAAGCTTCAAGGGTAAAAAGGGAAAATAAAATAGGTTCCATGGAAGTGTAGTCAGTTCCCCGAGGTGGGCATGGAACTGAGTTCCATCATTTTTTATGGAAGCGGGTTCCCTGAAGAAGCGGGTTCCATGGTACCAAACAAGCAAAAATCATGATTCTACTTCCACTTCGCATTCTTCAGAAACACTCTTACTTCTCAGAATCACTTCTTTATAAAATCTGTTTTTTTTCAAAATCTATTCTTCAGAAATTATTCTCTAAATCATGAATTGGCTTTATCCAAACACTCTTTTAATCATCGTCCTGCGAATATCCCAACTGACAAGTGAGAGCCTTCTTTCCCGAACCTTCCTTCTGGACTTTCCAAGAGAACAAGAATGCTTGAGAGCTTAATACTTTTATACTGTATATTTAATACGAGGCCATAATTAAGATCGTGTAAGAAAAAGCAAGATTAAGTCAGGCCGGCAAGAATTTTCTATGCCCAAGAAGTGGGTCGTTTTTTTTTTTTTTGACCTTGACGAAGTGGGTCGTTGAAAATTCTAATATTCAAATTGTCTTGTTTTTTTGGCCAACAATATTCAAATTGTCACAATAAGTTTGGTTGACTAGTCAGTCGTTGCAACTGGTGAATCTGGCTCGACTTGATCCAACTCCGGCTAAATTGAGCTGGAGAAGAAATTCAAAGATTGATTCGGGCCTGTCCACTGATGTCCAACTGGGCCCCACATTTGCCGCAAGACTCGTTGGCCCGATAATACGATGCAAGTTTATATATGAATTTCACTTAGGAAAAATTACAAATAAAGACCCCTTAATATATAAAATTAAGATTTGAAACTCTCAATATGAAAAATAGCAAATAAGGATCCGACTTCACTTTTGTAAATATGAAATCGTGGTGAAATGTCTGAAATACCCCTCAGCCAAATGACAAGTTGCCTATGAGAAATAACAAATTCACTTTAAGAAATGACAACTTTAGTGGACCAAATCACTACTTGACTAAGGATATGCCAAATGACAAGTTAACTATGGGAAATGACTAGCTCACTTTAACGAATGACAATTTCAGTAGACCAAATCACAATTTCGCTAAGGGCATTTTAGACATTTCACCTATATTTTATATTTGCAAAAGTAGAATCCGATCCTTATTTGCTATTTTTCAAATTTAGAATCCCAAAACACAATTTTACATATTGAGGAGTCTTTATTTATAATTTTTTCTTTCACTTATTGGGTCTAGTAACTATACATGAAATATATTCAAAAATATAAAATAATTCTTTCAGCAATTTAAGTCACGTATTTTAATCGAAGTTAAAACAACTTTATTTGTGAAACGAGTTCGCATGCTGTGGCAGGAATTTCATTACCAGAGGACCAAGAAAGAGGCTGGCGCATTAGTGGAATATCATAAAAAGTCAGGGGTCACAAACGTAAACCGACCTCCTCGAACCCAGCAGTAAGGAAACTCCGCTGCAGTTCTCAATATTTTCAAGCCATTCACTCTTTCAAGAAGGGCCAAATCTTGTAGAAAAATATAGAGGCACATAGCGATTCTCAAACCCACCTCCTTTCTCTTCTGCCTCGCTTCTCTTGCGTTTCGCTTTAGCCCCCTCGCTTCCTATTCTATTCGTACTCCTGATGTGTTTGCACCAATCCCTTTGCCTGTCATCTCTCAGGTTCCACTTTTCATTCCCAATATAGATATAACAATATTAATACGCATATACGTGTAATAAGTATGACTTATTCTCTGATATATTTCCCTAGAAATCTGTTTCTTAATTGGGTATAATCTTTTCAATCTTGGAGCTTTGGATATCGGTCTAATTTGATCAATGATAATTCCTCTGTTTTTTTGGGTGTTCCACTGATATTTATTTATAGTTTTATACTCTCTCTTGACGGCAGTTCAAAGTAGAGAAGTTGAGGTGAGATGACAACCCTAAGATCGAGCTGGCCGTCGAGGCTGCGGCAACTTTTGTCTAACGAGGGCGCCATTGGTCCCTCCATTAGACTGGACTCTGAACCCGTGAGTTTCTCTTCCCTATAGTCATTGTTGCATCACTTTCAAGTATACTGTACGATTTTATTATATCATCGAATAGGGTTTAACGCGATCATCTCTGACTAGTGATCAAATCCATTAAGGTTTTGCTCACCACTTATTCCTTCGCATTAGCAGAACATGAGCAAATGCATCATCAACATTGAAATTGCGCTTCAGAGGCTCCATATTCTATTCTGAGGTTCATTTTGTGTTACAATCTGCGTAATCTCTTGTGTGATTAAGTCGTAAACTTTTTCTTTTCCGTTAGACAGTGTTTTTCATTTATACGAGCGAAATAAATTATTGGAGTCAAAGTAAAGGCTAGAGATCAAAATTTTTTTAGAAATTCATGTGCGCTAAGGACAATGGTCCATTGACTTTTAGAATTCAAAATAGTTACTGACTAGTCTAGTTAAAGTTACTGGAAGGCACAACTAAGGTGCTGAAGCAAGTTGAAACAAGGAGCCTTTGCTTGTTAATAACTCAGGTGCAGCGTGTCTGTTCATTCTTATTTCTACCATTTTAATTCTGCATCAAATTGTGCAAATGGAGTTCTGAATTTGTATTTAGTAGACCGTCTCCATTTAATTTCTACTCTTAAGTCCTGCGTCATGCTGAGTCAAAACAGAAGTAATATGGGTAGATAGAGGCATTGGGAAGAAGGTTTGAGCAGTTTACATGGCGGCATTAACTGATTTTAGCATTTTTTTTTAATTTACTAAATTTCTAATGCGCATGTTCAAACTATAACATAATGGGAAATGGACACTTCAAACAGATTGAAAGTTTGTTCCCATAAATTAAAAAAAAAAATTTAACTATAAGAATAAGATAGAACTCACCCCTGCAAATTTGGATTCAGTTTTTATACATAAATACATATAATGATTCTCATCTGAAATTTGTTGCAAAATGCAGCCATATATATATATATATATATTGGTGGTGTACTTGAATGCTTTTGGAATCATTACCATGCTTTATCTCGAGAGTTTACTATCCTATTTGAATTTTATGCTGGAGCAATTAATTTGAAAAACAATGATAATTTTCAATAATTAAAACTTACTCATTTTTTTTCAATAATATATTCATTTTCCTCCTAACTTCAGTGGCTTGAGTCACAGATGAGTGCATAATGACATTGTAAATAGAAGAAAATTTATGCCAAAATAAGCCACTTGAGTTTGGCTTGATATTGGATATGTGTGTGTGTGTGTGTGTGTGTGTGTGTGTTTTCAGGCAAACTGATGTTACGTTAAATCAAATTGATATTTTATTTTTAATATTTTTTGGTAACCATATTTCATAAAGGATTTATTGATATTGCTTTTTAGTTAGAACCATACAAATTTTCCGGTACATTGCATGGAGTCTGAGATAAGCTGCACTTTTATGACTTGTGAATAATACAACTCTATAAATCTTATATTATATATTGATATTGAGATATTGATTATTTTCAAGCTAACAATATTTTATATAGATTTTATTGATACTGCTTTGCATATTTCTTCCCTATCTAATAGACCAAATTGTGATGTTCATTATTTGGAGTTGATTAAATAGTATATAGATTTGTGGGCAACAGTTATGCTGTTTGTTATATGAGACTGCTGATAGCAGTAGTCATTGCCTGTTGATATTCTAATGGTCATTTTCCCAGTAAATTTTCAGTTTTGGAATTTGGATGGCATGTGATCGTGCACACAAGTGTAACTTCATAGAGACAAATATGAAATTGCCAGAATGCATTTGCCCCTGGGGGGCAGCTTCTGAATCTATAACTTTGGGTTCATTTATTAATTTGTTTTGGGGCATGCAGAGCAGTTGTTATTGTGCTGAATCCTTAACTTA